ATCCTAATCCCTCACTCTATCTTTCTCTCTTTTTTTCGTCTCTGTTTTGTGTGTTCCTAGTTTCCTCTCTGTTTTTCTTTTACCTCTCCGTCTGTCTGTCTGTCTTCCTCCTCTCATTTCTCTCCCTATCTCTTTCTGTCTGTTTCCTTTCTTGTGTCCCTCTCTCTACTTTTCTCTTTACGTATCCGTCTATGTTTTTGCCTTGTATCTTTCTCTTCTCTTTATGTCTCTTTCTGTCTGTGTTCCTGTCCTGGTGTCTCTCAATTTTCTCTCTCTTTACGTCTCTTTCTGTTTGTGTTCCTATCCTGGTGTCCTTCTTTTTATTTTTCCCTCTCTTATGTCTCTTTCTGTCTGTGTTCCTATCCTGTTCCTTTCTTGGTGTCCTCTCTGTTTTCTCTTTACGTCTCCGTCTGTCTGTCTGTGTTCCTGTCCTGGTGTCAATTTTCTCTCCCTTTACGTCTCTTTCTGTCTGTGCTCCTATCCCAGTGTCCTTCTTTCTATTTTTCTCTCTTTTTATGTCTCTCTCTGTCTGTGTTCCTATCATATTCCTTTCTTGGTGTTCTCTTTGTTTTTCTCTTTACGTCTCCGTCATCCTGTGTCCTGTCTTGTCCTCTCAATTTTCTCTCTCTTTACGTCTCTTTCTGTCTGTGTTCTTTTCTTGGTGTCCTTCTCTCTATTTTTCTTTTTCGCTTCATATCTTCATATCTTCATCAGTACTGTATTTGTGTTTTTTATCTGTTTGTTTGTAAGTATATGGGTGTGTATGTATCTATGGCTGTTTGTGTGTATTTATGATATGCGGCCGTGTGTATGTAAGTGCGTGTTTGGAAAACCAGTTGATTTTATAAAGTTTCCTTCCTTCCTTCCAATCCTTTCCTTTGAATTATATATAACTTAAGGGCTATTTTAGCGAATTTTATAGCCGCCGTTAAAGCTACTTTTAGCTGAGGCAGGTGAAACAATTTCTAATTGAGAGAGAGAGAAAAAAAAAACATTAAGCTTTTAATCGTACACTGTTTTTGTTGTGTAGAAGTTCCTCGGGAGAAAATATTTGGTAAATTGGACCTCCAGTTGGGTGTGACCTGCAAGACTGTCGACAGAAAGTTCCTTCTTTCTCTAGCTAATCTCTATTCGTTGTTTATTACTCTTCTCTCTCCTCTCTCTCTCTCTCTTCTCTTCTCTTCCTCTTCTCTTTCTCTCTTCTCTCTCTTCTCTCTCTCTCTCTCTCTCTCTCTCTCTCTCTCTTCT